GTATGGTGCGAAGTCGGCCTGAGTTTGTTATTTTATTAAATTCCTTTGAATTTTCAAAAAGCAGTATTCTTGGTCCAAAGACCGATGCACTTTTTGTGGGCTGTTTTTCATCGTGAAGCCTTCCACGCAGGAAGATGTGTGGGACTTGGTCCAAGTAGCGATGCACTACTTGCCTTTGTGTATACACAATACTACTTGCCTGCTGTATTGTGTGACCTGCAGTTTGGCAGGGACTAAGTGGCGTATCACTGCTACGTTCACTCACTGTTTGTGCTGTCGGGAAGAAAGTGCCAGTATTTAGACAATATGGGTCTTTTTTTTTGAGTGTGCCTTTGAGAAAATAACAGCGTTCTACGCTCTAAGCTACAACTCTCCTAATGGTATTTTTATTTAAAGATTATTTTAATGGTATTTTCATTTATTTATTTATTTAGTCGAGTTCTGATGGCTACGAATATATTTGCTGGTTATTGCAGGCTGATTGTTCTGCATATGAATGTCACGTTTTGCATATTAATGTTATTATAGGATATATCATAAATACAATTGAATTGTGTCGGGCAGTTTTCCCGATGCCGATGATTGTTAGTGCAAGTTATTTCGTATTCATTTGTTTCAACGGCATTAATTTCGGTTTTACATGTAAAATAGTTTTATATATGTCGGAAGTTTCTATTGACCGGCCATAATTTGAACTTGATTGGAACAGTCACGTGTTCGCAATCAGTAATATCGTGCGTTTCCCTCAAAGGGTTCGTTCGCTTACGTTTTTGAATTAATTAAACATGAATTTCATTATAAAGTGTAACGTTGATCTCATTCTATATATCTCTGTAACGGGAAAATTTACTTTTTTCTGTGTTAATTCAACATGCTCATTCTGTATTTCTCTCTACAGACAGAATTTACCATTTTCAATGTTCATTCTAAAAGCGTCTAAATAGTTAATCCGAGCTCTGTTTATATGCATGCACATATTGGTATATTTCGGCAGAAGTTCTTCTCTTATTCACGTTTGATTGAAGACCAGCGAATATTTTTTATAAAACTCACATACGTATTTATGTACTCCAAGTTGACGAGGTTTACTGATCGTGAAGCGGGACTCGGTCTTCGTGACCGATGTCATCCGTACGAGCCTATGTGTACGTCTCGCTTACTTGGAGTCTTGAAAGCCTCATTTTAATGTATCCTCTCAAAAGTCCGCGGCCTCAGGTAATTAGAGCCGCTCTGACAAAGATGAGTTTTAATGCAGGCTACGCGTATTCGTTTGAAGTGAACGTTGTGCCTCGTTGAGTTCCCGCCCACGAGCTTTTAGAAGAGTTCAAAGTTTGCTACTACGCTTATTTTTCCGCTTGTATACAATTTACATCGGACTGTAGTGTTAGCAATTCTGTGCACATTTTAGCACAGAAATTTTGAGCACATTTTCAGCACTGAAAATTTGAACACATTTTCAGCACATCAAATCAAAGCACATTTTCAGATCAAGTCTGAGCACATTTTCAGCACATCATGAAGTATGAGAACATTTTAAGCACATCAATTCTGAGCACATTTTTAGTACAGAAATTCTGAGCACATTTTCAGCACAAAAATTCTGAGCACATTTTCAGCACATCAATTCTGTGTGTGCACATTTTCAGTGCATCAATTCGGAGCACATTTTCAGCACATCAATTCTGAACACATTTTTAGCACATCAATTCTGAGCACATTTTTAGCACATCAATTCTGAGCACATTTTTAGCAGATCAATTCTGAACACATTTTTAGCACATCAATTCTGAGCACATTTTTAGCACAGAAATTCTTAGTACATTTACATCAAAAGTACTTTTTCCAAATGCAAGACCAATTAACTTTTCGCGTTCACATAGTCATCTCGAGATAATTCGTAACCAATGCCGTGTCAAATCCTTACAAGAAAAGTTTTTTATCAAATACAACGAAATACTTTCTTGTTCCAACATGAATCTTCGAGTCAAGTTTTTCGGGTGAAATATCTCAAATTTTCTCCAGTTAAGTAATCGAAGTATAGTACATTTTCTCCTTGTGGGAGAATTACGGTGACAAACTATACATTCTTATAGTTCGTATACAAATACTACGAACTATACGAATTCGTAAAGTTCGTATACGAAAATATCCTTTAGAACTATACATTCGTATATACGCTTACTATCATCTGTTAGTTGGAGCACAACCGCTATTTTCTCTGGTCGCAAATGATGGCTCTTATGGAATAGTACAATTAGAGCAGGGACCATACTTTCAAAATTCGCTAAGTGAACGTAAGTACTTACTCTATATTTTCTTGTCTATGATTGGTGGATTTTGCTTGAAAGCCCGTCAATGATTGGCAGATGAACTTACGATCTCTTAACTTTTTTTTGAAAGTATGGGCCAAGGACTATTAGATAGACAATAATTTTGTGTGAGCTTTGTATAAGGATCTGCTTAACGCTGTGAGTTTATTATATGATTAGGTTATTTTATTTATTTTTTGTATGATGCTCGAAATATATCGAAAAGATTGCTGGCGGAAGTGATAATATAATGTCGTTACGGTCACACAGCTCATTAGTGGATACTTTGCTTCATTACGTGAAGATCATCTTCAGTTTGTTCTTCTCGACGCTCGCATGGGGGTTAGGCTTCTACCACATTCGCAGGTCGTGCAAGAATTGTTCTAATTTCTGCGTTCAATGTTATATATGTTTTCTTGTTGAGCGTTTTAAACCTTTCCAGTTTGTGTTTAAATCCGATTACGAACATATTTAATCTAGATTGTGCGAGATCGCATGTCCGAATCCGATTACAAATAGATTCATTTAAGATTGTGTGTACCGGACTGAGCTCTCTCCTCCTAGAAGAAAAACTCTATCTAACATAATGCTGAATATAATATGTAAACAATGTACATTCTGCTGGAAACACACGTGTCACAACTTGAAGTTAAATATACGTCAATATATTGCGGATTTCTGGGACTTCAATGCCTCCCTTAGGAACAATGCATTTGGTCCGTGAATGGCATTAATTGCTTCTTTGAAGTTCTTCTAATACGCCTATCTTTTAATGAAGTGTTGCACATTTGTTGCAGGTTAGCTCACTCTACCGTCTTCTATATGTATTCTCGACTTGTATATAATATCGTATTTTATATTTTCGGCTTGCTTGTCATCGTCCGATATCGGACTACGTGCTTGTTATCGTTCAAAGATTGCCAAATCTGTGTAAAACACAGACTTTTTGTTAATTTCCGTGTTAACTTTTTGTTAACTCCGTAGCTTTATTATTTTCAAGTACATAAATTTTGATAAATATAAGCAAAATATTATTTAGGTTAATACCCCTCAACCTTGGGTTGTCAATGTAAATTACCATTTTTCGACTTTTTTTTAATTTTTTCGCTAATTTCAGTCAGGAATATGAAATTGGATTAATTCAATTTGTGTTGTCATATCTTGATCAAAATTTATGTTTTGTTTTGATATGAATCAGCATGGCATCTTATTCGGTTTTCACGGAGGACGAATTCTAGAATATGTCGGCCTGAGGCGGCGACGCTGGACACGCGACCGACCTCGCTATATACCAGAACGGACCATCGCGCTTCTCCTCTAAATAAACGCGTGGAATTAACTGAACTGCGTGTAGAGTTTGCTCGCTTGCTTCATCTTTCATGAAAGGAAAAGTTTGTCCTCGCGAGATTAAAAGTTTTAATACGCGGGTGCAAGTAAGTGCCTTAAAAAGCTGTCCGTCCTGATGCTCTTTAATGGCACTTGCGGCACAGCCGTTCTCCGACACCCTCGCTCCAGGGACTTCTGCCTCATTTCGGGCGCGTCTCTATCATTTGAGATTAAGCTTGATCTCGTGGATCAAAGCACTACTCATTTGGTCTCTCTGGCCAGTATCAACGTGGACTCGCGTATTTAATCTAACGCTCATCTTGGATTTTTCAAGGCACTTTACCCCCCAGTTATGATCTATTATGCGACCTCCAACGTTAAAGAGTCGTCGTATTTCATAACCTCCTATATTGAAGCAGTGTCTCGTAGGTTCAACTCGTCTGTCCCCGGCGCAGTGTGCCATTTGGAATTCCCGTGACGAAAAGTTCATATGATTTGAGTTCATGTTTGGATAGTGGCCTTTTTTACTTGAGCAAAATTAAATTCTAAATATGTGATATATCATTGAAAAGCAGTCGCTTTGTATACTCGGTCTTCAATTCAATACCCCCTAAGTACAAATGAAAACTCCTGGTCGCAAGTAGATGTGTTTCTGATATGGAATCATTTGAACTAATAAGCATGGTAAACTGAGCGATGTAATTTTTTCGTCTACGACGTATTTTCAGCATAGAAACTTGTTGAGCTATTGTGGCTATTTTTAGAAATTTACTAGCAATTGAGAATTAGAAAATAATTAATGTGGTGGTTTGCACTCATTCGTCAGGAAATCATGTATAGTGAGAACCAATTCTTTTATTTCTATTCAGTCAAATTATTGTTGGCGAAATAACTCCGTACATTGAGTTAATGCCATTAGTTGGACTAATATTGAAATTACGGTATGTGACTATTGTGCCATTCATTTTTTTTTATTTTAAGAGTTTGGACAGTTGAATTTCTAATAACCATATTTATTTAATATATTTTAAGGGCAGCACTAATGCATGTTAACATTACGATATTTAACTGTGTGGTGCAATACACTTACCGATAAGCCAAATGTTCGGAAAGTTCATTCTCTAATCACCTAATTTTAAATATAATATAGAAGGCAGGGGCCATACTTTCAAAACTCGCTAAGTGAACGTAAGTACTTATACGCTCTATTTTCTTGTCTATGATTGGTGGATTTTGCTTGAAAGGCCATCAATGATTGGCTGATGAACTTACGATCTCTTAACTTTTTTTGAAAGTATAGGCCCTGAACTGCAGCATGTGAATATTAAGTGATGTGACGTGGTAACAAAGTGGGCTTTCTCACAGGGCGGCAGTGCATTGACTCGGAAGAATTCCACTATCCTCACTCTGGCGTAACGCGCTCGCCTCTCTGTGACTTCTTTAGTAAGTCCTTCTCCATGTCCCTTCAGTATGGTTAATGTTTGTGGCTTGCAGCCGTAGTTTGTTGCAACCTTTGATGGCTCCATCGATTTGTTTCTGCTAAATTTGCTGTTGATTTTTGCTGTATTTTGCTAGGTACCTTATTCATTAATTTGAAAAATTTAAACGCTACAATTTTCCTCCAGTATGGTTTGTTGTTTGTGGCTTGCAGCCGTAGTTTGTTGCAACCTTTGATGGCTCCATTGATTGTTTCTGCTATATTTGATGTTGATTCTTGCTGTATTTTGATACTTTATTTATTTGAAAATTTTAAACGCTACAATTTTCATCCAGTAGCGTTTGCTTTTAGCTTGCAGCCGTAGTTTGTTGCAACCTTTGGTGGCTACATCGATTGTTGCTGCTACATTTGATGTTGATTTTTGCTGTATTGTGCTACCTTATTTAATTGAAAATTTTAAACGCTACTATTTTCCTCCAGTATCGTTTGCTTATAGCTTTCAGCCGTAGTTTGTTGCAACCTTTGATGGCTCCATCGATTTGTTCTACTACATTTGATGTTGACTTTTGTTGTATTTTGTTACCTTATTTATTCAATTGAAAAATTTAAACGCTACAATTTTCCTACAGTAGCGTCTTCTTTTAGCTTTCAGTCGTAGTTTGTTGCAATCTTTGATGACTCCATCGATTTTTTCTGCTACATTTGTTGTTAATTTTTCGCTGTATTTAGCCACCTTATTTATTCAATTGAAAATTTTAAACGCTACAATTTTCCTACAGTAGCGTTTGCCTTTTGGTTTTCAGTCGTAGTTTGTTGCAATATTTGGTTGATGTTTCCCTGATTTGTTCTGCTATATGTGTTGTTGATTTTTCGCTGTATTTTGCCACCTTATTACTTGGATTGAATTATTTTTTGCCTCTTAACTAGGCTGCTCCGAAGCATAGTTCAGCAGCCTTCAGATTTCAACGAGCTTATTTTTGAGCGCTTGAACCCTTATTTTTTTACAGAATTGTCTGTTTCTTCAGTCATAGTTTGATGTATCGCAAACTCTTGATGTTGAAATGTACTAAATATTTGTTGATTTAATTTACCAATTTTGGACGTATAATAATTATGCAGGTAAATTTTCTAATGTATGTTTATCATGTGTTTATTATAATGTTTATTTCAATGCTCAATTAATATAATTTGTTTCAATTAAATAAGTCTTTTCAATCCCTTTAGGTTTTCAGCGAGTCGAGCTTCAAAATTTTGTTCAAAATTTTCATTCTTACCTCAGAATTCCAAGTTTAAAATTTTCAGCCTTTTGCTCCAATTCATATTTTCATTCCAGTTCGTCGATTGTTTTCTTTAATTCTAATAATTGATGGGTGAAAAGTGTCGCTTTTCCTGCTATATGTGTGTCCATGTAATAATAATGTGAGATATTGGAGTCAAAATTTCCACGGCACCTCTTCGTTGCCGTAGAAATTTTAGGCAATTTTTTTGCATTCCACCCTTATATTTAAAGGTGAAATGGCAAAAATTGTAAAAACGTGAAAATTGATAATTTGTGCTCAAATGTAATTGTTTTTTTCCTCTTAATTTTTGGTTCAGTTGGCTTCTGCATATTTTTGAGTATCGTAAAATAAGACACACAGTCTAATACTCTAATGATCGTTTTATGTAAATATTGCCGCAAGTGTTGCATTATCCGCTCGAATTATCGTCCGTGATAAGCTCTGTGGATTATCGCTCACGATCTATGATTAATCCCAGCGACCTTTGCACGAGCTTCCAAATCCAACGAGACTTGTGTGGCACTCCTGCTATTACTCTGCTGTTTATCGCGTATATTGTCTCATGCAACGCAATATTGTTCATTTGATTATTTGGTAGATTGTCGCCATCCGTGGTGCCGGCGACACCTGTGTTCATGTTCAACATCTTAATTTCAATATTATTCATTTAATTAATTGATAGATTGTCGCCATCCGTGGGGACGGCGACACCTTTGCGCATGTTCTCCATCTTACCTTCAATTTTATTTATTTAATTAATTGGTAGATTATCCCCATCTGTGGGGCCGGCGACACCTGTGCGCATGTCAACATCTTACCTTCAATTTTATTCATTTAATTAATTGGTAGATTATCGCCATTTTCGAGTCTCTGGTTACTGGACCAAATATCAATACCTAAGAGCCTGTCAAATATTGTGTCTTCAATATGACTCCCTTAATTGTCAGATAAACACTATTTTGAAGTCCTTAATAACCCTTTTCTAGTCTCTGGTTACTGGACCAAATATATATATATATATATATATGTCAAATATGTCAAACATTGTACCTTGCTTCAATATCTCTCCCAGATAAACTTTATTTTCGAGCCTTTTATAACTTGATCGAATATCAACACTAGTGCTCATGTCTAACAATGTGCCTCCAACATGACTCATATGATTAGTAGTTATTTGGTATTTTTATTCATTGATTAAAACTATAATATTCTGCCCTAAATATTTTTAATATGATATCTTTATTGACGATTTTTTACTCCTTAATTACAGGATAAAATATTTTGTGTTTTTCCCGCTGTTCCGCATCTCCGTTTGCTAAATTTTATTTGATTCTAAAAGATATTTTAGTCCATTTTTTTCCTTGTGATAAGCCTGTAGTTTGTTAGTTGTTGTTCCTCAAGTGCTATCTCAAACATTTTGATGTTCTTACAGAATTTTTTACCCTTATCTTATAATTTCGTGCTCATAAATTGTTCGAATCATTCATGACCGTCTTTAAATCACAATAAGTTCGAAAATTAAATCTCAATAATATGTGTTCAACTAGAGTAATTCAAAGATTAACTCTCAATAACATGTATTGAACTAGAGTAATTTTGAACAGTTATCTGGCATCTTGTGATGTAGTGTCAGGCAGCTAAAAGTTTATGTGTTTCATTAAAGTTGTTAGGCAGCGGTTGTCGCGGCGGATCGCGCTAGCTTGTGGAGCGCAAACTGAACTTGAGGTCCTGTGAAGAATTGCAGCGCGGCTATCGAGTATCGTGAGCAGCTGTTGCGCTATATTGCTTTCCTTGATTGATCTCAAAAGTTGCGACCACTCGTTTGCCGTGCTGCTGTCAGACCAGCATCGCTTCCTCCTTTGTTCTTGTCTCTGCGTGTTCTCCTTGGTCTTTTTCTTTCTTGTCTCTCTCTTTGTTCTTGTCTCTCCGTATTCTCCTTACTCGTCCTCCTACTTGTCTATCTCTCTGTTCTTGTCTCTGCGTGTTCTCCTTAGTCTTCCTCCTTCTTTGTTCTTGTCTCTGCGTGTTCTCCTTAGTCTTCCTCCTTCTTGCCTCTCTCTTTGTTCTTGTCTCTGCGTATTCTCATCAGTTTTATCACCTACGTAGCCTTCACCCTCCAGAACGGAAATTTGTTACTTGAACTCCAGACTTCTTTTTAACCGATCGTTTACAACTTTCCATCCTATCCCTTACTTTTTCTTCTTATTAGTCGTTTTCTTCTTCGTTCCTTGTCTGTTGTGACATTTTCCTTTGCATTCATTTCTTCTTAATGAAATTACACGATAATTCCATGTTCTTGTTCAATTCATCCTAGCTTCTTATCCACTTCTTTTCATTCTCATCACGTCTTCTGCCCATTTCTGCGTGATCGTTTTAATATTTTATAAATTTCTTGTTTTAATTCGCTACCTGAATTCCTCATAAACGTACTATTTGACGCCCGCTTTTATTGTCCAATATTCCACTAGATGGCGTAACCGTCTAGATTATACATGCAATTGTAATGCAATAATAATATTGAAGATTTAATTTGTATGTAATATCCAGATTAAAATCCTCGTGTTTATCTATCAATTCGTTATCAGGTGTATGCACGTTATATTTGCGTCCATTATTTAATCTCGGATGAGCATGCACGAAGCAAACTCGGTAACCGTCAACAGATGGCTGCACTTCCTATTGGGATTTGGCATCTGCCACTGTTTCCTTGGGCAGAATCTGCTGCGAGCTCAATTGGATTCAGTGGTCGTTGACCGAACACTGACCGTGCCTGCAATCATTGCCGAGCATTTGCGGACTAATTCAGTTATTTCGCTCAATATAAATGCCTTCCGTACACATGCCAAGATATCTGTCTGAGAATAATGCTATTGATGTTATCTGAGAGAGGGAAATTATTTATTTTAATTAGTATTTACGAGACTGGCTGCATACCAGGCTTTAGCCGGAGTGTTCAAAGACGTGTAACAAGGTTAATTCCAAGCTTAAAAGGGCAACTGTTATGAAGAAAGATTAGCGATTATGAAACTTCCGAAGTTTTTGTAATCGACGGCTGCGTGGCGACCTCATTAATTGAAGTTTACAAGTAGGAGTATACTCACGGTTTAAACAAGGTTCCAGAAATATCACGTGAGTATAAACAAGACCTGTTGTTAGATTTACTGTGAATAATTCACGAAAAGTACGAGAATTTGCGACTTGGCCTATTGTTCCGCACCGACGCTACCACACAATACTCTATATATGTATGTACTATAAACTATACATATTATGTACAACAATCTGGAATGCTCCACTGAAGTCTACGGCAATTATTCCACAAATTTCACTACCTTAACTGAACTAACTTCCAAAGCTCAGCCTCAAAATAATATAAGCAGCTGATTATAATAAACTCAAAGTAGGAATTCAATTAAGCACAAAATTTTGTATACAATATAAACTTCGTGGACAGAATTTCCCGCTCACAATGATATAAGCCACTGATTATAATATATTCAAAGTTAAAACTCGATTCAGCACAAAATTTTGTATACGATACGGTATAAACTTTGTATACAATATAAACCCGAAATATACAAATATAAACTTCGTAAACTGAATTTCCTGCTAGACTCAAAGTAGTAACTCAATTGAGCGCAAAATTTTGTATACAATACAAACTTCGTAGACCGAATTTCCCCGCTTTGTTTTACTGTTCTCTGATATTCCTGTGTTAGTGTGCG